CTTATCACATTTAAATTTTTTCACTTCATTATTACCATGATAATACTTTTCATGTTTAAATAAATTCCTCTTTGTTTTATATCGCGCAAAACAAATCTCACACTTAAACAACTTTTTATTGCCACTCATATCATCACATTCAACCCCATGATATTCCACCGTGATTTTCGTCTCAAACATGTCTTCATCCCCATCTTTTTCTTTATTGCGTGACGAATTTTTATCATCTTCTTCAGAAAACTTACCTTCCCTTCCTTCCTCCCCATCATCATCACAAATGTCACTTTCTTCATCACCATCATTGATTTCATATCTAAAATTACTTAAAATAGCTTAAAACACCTATATTTAAAACTTAAAACAATAGTGCTGGCTGTTTTGCTACAAGAGCAAGCATGTTTCAACATGTCAACAATTAAACAACTGTTGCCATGGTGATAACGCATTAAGTGGCAACCATGCTTACCCTTGGCCAAGAAACGTTTCGTCTTCGGCTTCAAATTTCATTACGACTTGCTCGGCTCCATCAAAATCGTCTTCTACATCTGTGGACATTTCCGATTCTACTTTCACCCCCGATTCATCGTAAACCATGGATTTGTCGCCATCATCCAATTCTTTGATCTCTTGTTTTATTGCTATCCCAGAGGGTAAAGGCCTTTGCTGGTCAGCAGATGTACTTGTTCCATCAAAATTGTCGACAGGCTCTTTTTTAACCACTATTTGTTCCATAGTGCACGAAAACTCTACTACTTATATTTAATAAACACAGAATATTTGTATTAAGTACGTTGGCAAGCTTTAAAAACAATAAAAACTCGTATAAATAGTCAAACAACAAATAGAAACATTTGTTTTATTATGGAAATGTCTGTTTCGATATTTGACAAAATATCGAGAGGTTATGGCACTGCTACCAACTTAACATGGTGCATAAAATAAATGTCTTTGTTCGGGTAGAGAACATTGCAATTTTTTTAAATTGGCATATTTAAAGGTAAATTTAAGTAAAACACGTATTTATATAAAAGTTTTTAATTATTTTTGTTTATATGAATCAAAAACTAACAATTAAAAAACAAAAATTATTTAATCAATGTTTAATTTTTAAATGTCTTTTAAAACTATGTACAACAGTGGTTTTATATTTACAGTCTTGGCATTCATGCACTTTGGAAGTGATTAAATTTGTATTGTCTTTGTTCAAAAAATCGGAATGTTTAGTTAAAATATGGTTGTCTAAACTTTGTTTTGCATTGGTTTGATATTTGCAAAATAAACATTTGAATTCTTTAATTTCGTTGTGGGATTTCACATGATTTGTTAAATTAATTTTTAGAGTACTTTTATAGTGGCAAACTTCACATTTATACCATTTGGCATTGTCCAATTTCAAACATTTTTGTATGTGCCTATTGTAAGATGATTTATAAACAGTTGAATATGAACATTTCAAACACTCATGGATTTTATAATTTATTTTTATTTTATTGTCTCCCTCAATTTTTGATTTATGTTTGCTGACAATGTGTGTATTTAAACACCATAATTGTGCAGCAGAATACTCACAAAAGTTACATTTTAAATAACTGGTTTTGTCGTGAATTTTTAAATGCGTTTTCAAACTACTTTTCCTCAAAGTCGCAAAATCACAATTATCACATTCGAATCTTTTCAGTTTTTCTTTTCTATGAAAGTATTTTTCATGAAAAGATAAACCATTCTTTGTTTTATATCGCTTAAAACAAATCTCACACTTAAACAACTTTTTATTGCCACTCATATCATCACATTCAACCCCATGATATTCCACCTCAATTTTCGTCTCAAACATGTCTTCATCACCATTTTTTTCTTCATTGCGTGACGAATTTTTATCATCTTCTTCAGAAAACTTACCTTCATCCTCATCATCATGACCATTGTTGATTTCATATCTAAAATTACTTGAAATAGCTTAAAACACCTTTATTCAAAACTTAAAACAATAGTGCAGGCTGTTTAGCAACAAGAGCAAGCATGTTTCAACATGTCAACAATCAAACAACTGTTGCCATGGTGATAATGCATTAAGTGGCAACCATGCTTACCCTTGGCCAAGAAACGGTTCATCTTTGCCCTCGAATTTTATTTCAACTAGCTCGGGTTCATCAAAATCGTCTTCTACATCAGGGGACATTTCCGATTCTACTTTCACCCCCGATTCATCGTAAACCATGGATTTGTCGCCATCATCCAATTCTTTCATCTCCTGTTTTATTGCTATCCCAGAGGTTAAAGGCGTTTCCTGGTCAGCAGATGTACTTGTTCCATCGAAATTGTCGACAGGTTCTTTTTTAACGACTACTTGTTCCATAGTGCACGAAAACTTTACTACTTATATTTAATAATCACAGAATATTTGTATTAAGTAATTCGAAAATGCTTCGGCAAGCTTAAAAAACAATAAAAACCTGTATAAACACTCAAACAACGAATTCTTCTTCTTCTTCTATACTTTTTATTCTCTCTTTCGAGAGAATTGGACTTGAGCCGATTAGGCTCTTACTGCCCAGTTACTAGTTTTAACGTCCAATGATTTCCGAAGAACCAAAAACCATTGGACAACGATTGACTAACGAACACGTGGACACAAATAGGTTAAGTAACCTTGAAATTTCAATGTTTATATAAATTCCTCTATTCCTTTAAAAAAGGACAAAACGAGGAATATTATCTAGGACTGGAATCCGATTTTGTCCACCCTGAGTCAAAGTCAACTATATTTCACACTTTTCATGGAGCAATGCACGAGCGATGCGCTTCTCACCGAGGACAAAATCGAACTCGAAACAAAAATCGAAACAACGAATTAGAAGCACTTGTTTTATTATGGAAATGAGTATTTTGACATTTGACAGAAAACTCCCTAGAATAACCCTAAATATCACTAGATAGTTTGAATTGCAAACATGCAGACCTTGGAGTAGGGAAGAGAGTGCAAATTGCGACCACGCCAAAGCACGTATTTAAGTGGCGGAGATATCTTCCCAATTATTACAAATTTAACAATTTTACAGAGCATTTTAAAGTTTTTAGCTAATATAAATTATTTTTTAGATTTACATTGCTTCGGTAGTACGGGGGCAGAAAGGAAGGCAATCTATAAATCAGGCTCTATAACTAAAATATGGCAATAATTTTTTAAAAACTTTACTTAAATAAAATGGCAAACATTTGAATTTCGTTAAAGTTACTAAATAATTGATTGTTTTAAATTTCGCTTGATAAAAGTTCATATTACAACTACGCTAATATAAAAACAAGGTAATTTAATGACAAAATATCGAGAGAACATTGTATTTTGTTATAATTGGGATTTAAGTAAAACACGTATGAAAATGTAATTTTGTTTATTTATTTTGTTTACATTAAACATTATTTAACGAATGTTTACTTTTTAAATGTGTTTTAAAATTACATAAAACAGTAGTTTTAAAATTGCAGTGTTGGCAAACATGCACTTTGGCAGTGATGAAATTTTCATTGGATTCATTTAACAAATGTGAGTGTTTAGCTAAAATATGGTTGTCCAAACTTCGTTTTATATCGCTTTCATGTTTACAAAATAAACAATTTAATTTTATTTTATGTTGGATTTTTATGTGAGGTGTTAAATTATATTTATGAATGGTTTTATAGGGGCAAAGATGACATTTGTAATATTTAACGTTCTCTAATTTCAAACATCTACTCATGTGCTTGTTATAACTTGATTTTCTAACAGTTGAATACGAACAATTGGAGCACTCGTGGATTTGACTTGTTATTTTTGTTTTATTTTCTTCTTTATGTTTGCTTAGAAGGTGTGCATTTAAATGTATCAACTTGGCAGTCATGTAATGACAAAATTGGCATTTTAAGTAACTTTTTTTGTCGTGATTTTTTAAATGCGTTTTCAAACTACTTTTCCTCAAAGTCGCAAAATCACAATTATCACATTTAAATTTTTTCAGTTTATCTTTACCATGATAATACTTTTTATGTTGAAGTAAACCACACCTTGTTCGATATTGCTTAAAACAAATCTCACACCTAAACAACTTTACATTTTCACTCATATCACCAAATTCAACCCCATGATATTCCACCTCAATTTTTGTCTCAAACACTCCTTCATTCTCATCTTTTTCTTCATTGCATGGCGAATTTTTATCATCTTCTTCGGAAAACTTGCCTTCATCCTCATCATCATTACAATTGTCACTTTCTTCATCACCATCGTTGATTTCATATCTAAAATTACTTAATTTATTTAAAACTTAAAACAAGCATGTTTCAACATGTCAACAATCAAACAACTGTTGCCATGGTGATGATGCATTAAGTGGCAACCATGCTTACCCTAGGTCAAGAAACGTTTCTTCTTCGGCTTCGAATTTCATTACGAATTGTTCGGCTTCATCAAAATCGTCTTCATCTGTGGACATTTCCGATTCTTCTTTCACCTCCGATTCATCGTAAACCATGGATTTGTCGCCATCATCCAGTTCTTTGATCTCTTGTTTTATTGCTATCCCAGAGGTTAGAGGCGTTTCCTGGTCAGCAGATGTACTTGTTCCATCGAAATTGTCGACAGGTTCTTTTTTAACGACTATTTGTTCCATAGTGCACGAAAACTTCAATACTTATATTTAATAATCACAGAATATTTGTATTAAGTACTTTGGCAAGCTTTAAAAACAATAAAAACTCGTATAAATAGTCAAACAACAAATGGAAACATTTGTTTTATTATGGAAATGTCTATTTTGATATTTGACAAAATATCGAGAGGTTATGGCACTGCTACCAACTTAACATCGTGCATAAAATAAATGTCTTTGTTCGGTAAGAGAACATTGCATTTTTTTTAAATTGGCATATTTAAAGGTAAATTTAAGTAAAACACGTATTTAAATAAAAGTTTTTAATTATTTTTGTTTATATGAATCAAAAACTAACTAAATAAAAATAACAACAAAATTATTTAATCAATGTTTAATTTTTAAATGTCTTTTAACACTATGTATAACAGTGGTTTTAAATGTACAGTGTTGACATTCATGAACTTTTCAAGTGATTAAATTTGTATTGTCTTTGTTCAAACAATCGGAATGTTTATTTAAAATATGGTTGTCTAAACTTTGTTTTGCATTGGTTTGATATTTGCAAAATAAACATTTGAATTCTTTAATTTCGTTGTGGGATTTTGCATGATTTGTTACATTAATTTGTAGAGTACTTTTATAGTAGCAAACTCCACATTTATACCATTTGATATTTTCTAATTTTAAACATTTATTTATGTGCCTAGTGTAAGATGATTTATAAACAGTTGAATATGAACATTTCGAGCATTCATGAATTTTATAATTTATTTTTATTTTATTGTCTCCCTCAATTTTTGATTTATGTTTGGTGACAATGTGTGTATTTAAACACCATAATTTGGCAGCAGAATACTCACAAAAGTTACATTTTAAATAACTGGTTTTGTCGTGAATTTTTAAATGCGTTTTCAAACTACTATTACTTTTATATCGCTTAAAACAAATCTCACACTTAAACAACTTTTTATTGCCACTCATATCATCACATTCAACCCCATGATATTCCATCTCAATGTTCGTCTCAAACACGCCTTCATCCTCATCTTTTTCTTCATTGCGTGACGAATAATTGTCACTTTCTTCATCACCATCGTTGATTTCAGATCTAAAATTACTTAAAATAGTCTAAAACACCTTTATTCAAAACTTAAAACAATAGTGCAGGCTGTTTTAAAACAAGAGCAAGCATGTTTCAACATGTCAACAATCAAACAACTGTTGCCATGGTGATGATGCATTAAGTGGCAACCATGCTTACCCTTGGTCAAGAAACGTTTTGTCTTCGGCTTCGAATTTTATTTCAACTAGCTCGGGTTCATCAACATAGTTTTCTACATCTGTGGACATTTCCGATTCTTCTTTCACCCCCGATTCGTCGTAAACCATGGATTTGTCGCCATCATCCAATTCTTTGATCTCCTGTTTTATTGCTATCCCAGAGGTTAAAAGCCTTTCCTGGTCAGCAGATGTACTAGGTCCATCGAAATTGTCGACAGGTTCTTTTTTAACGACTATTTGTTCCATAGTGCACGAAAACTTTACTACTTATATTTAATAATCACAGAATTATTGCATTAAGTAACTCGAAAATACTTCGGCAAGCTTTAAAAACAATAAAAACCTGTATAAACAGTGTTTAAACACTCAAACAACGAATTAGAAGCACTCGTTTTATTATGGAAATTATTATTTTGACATTTGACAGAAAACTCCCTAGAATAACCCTAAATATAACTAGATCGTTTGATATGCAAACATGCTGACCTTAGAGTAGGGAAGAGAGTACAAATTGCGACCACGCCGAAGCACGTATTTAAGTGGCGGAGATATCGTCCCAATTATTACAAATTTAACAATTTTACAGAGCATTTTAAAGATTGAAAGTTTTTAGCTAATATAAATTATTTTTTAGATTTACATTGCTTCGGTAGTACGGGGGCAGGAAGGAAGGCAATCTATAAATCAGGCTCTATAACTAAAATATGGCAATAATTTTTTTAAAACTTTACTTAAATAAAATGGCAAACATTTGAATTTCGTTAAAGTTACTAAATAATTGATTGTTTTAAATTTCGCTTGATAAAAGTTCATATTACAACTATGCAAATATAAAAACACGGTAATTTAATGTCAAAATATCTTGAGGTTATGTTATGGCACTGCTACCAACTTAACACCAACTGACAGATGTATTATCGTGCATGAAATGTCTTTGTTCGGGTAGAGAACATTGTAATTTGTTATAATTGGGATTTTTAAAGGTAATTTAAGTAAAACACGTATTAAAATGTAATTTTGTTTATTTTTTTTTACATTAAACATTATTTAACGAATGTTTATTTTTTAAATGTGTTTTAAAATTAACTAAAACAGTAGTTTTAAAGTTGCAGTGTTGACACACATGCACTTTGGCAGTGATGAAATTTTCATTGGATTCATTTAACAAATTTAAATGTTTAGTTAAAATATGGTTGTCCAAACTTCGTTTTATATCGCTTTTATGTTTACAAAATAAACATTTTAATTTTATTTTATGTTGGATTTTTATGTGAGTTGTTAAATTATATTTAATAATAGTTTTATAGGGGCAAAGAAGACATTTGTAATATTTAACGTTCTCTAATTTCAAACATCTACTCATGTGCCTATCGTAATTTGTTTTTCTAACAGTTAAATATGAACAATTAGAGCACTTGAGGATTTTACTTGTTATTTTTGTTTTATTTTCTTCTTTATGTTTGCTTAGAAGGTGTGCATTTAAATGTATCAAGTTGGCAGTCATGTAATGACAAAATTGGCATTTTAAGTAACTTGTTTTGTCGTGAATATTTAAATGCCTTTTTAAAGAACTATTTCTCAGAGTCACAAAATCACATTTATCACATTTAAATTTTTTCAGTTTATCTTTACCATGATAATACTTTTTATGATTAAACAAACCCATCTTTGTTTGATATTGCTTAAAACAAATCTCACACCTAAACAACTTTACATTGCCACTCATATCACCAAATTCAAAATTATTTAACAAATGTTTACTTTTTAAATGTGTTTTAAAATTAAATAAAACAGTAGTTTTAAAGTTGCAGTGTTGACACACATGCACTTTGGCGGTGATGAAATTTTCATTGGATTCATTTAACAAATGTGAGTGTTTAGCTAAAATATGGTTGTCCAAACTTTGTTTTTTATCGCTTTCATGTTTACAAAATAAACATTTTAATTTTATTTTATGTTGGATTTTTATGTGAGGTGTTAAATTATATTTATTATTAGTTTTATAGGGGCAAAGATGACATTTGTAATATTTAACTTTCTCTAATTTCAAACATCTGCTCATGTGCCTATCGTAATTTGTTTTTCTAAGAGTTGAGTACGAACAATTAGAGCACTCGTGGATTTGACTTGTTATTTTTGTTTTATTTTCTTCTTTATGTTTGCTTAGAAGGTGTGCATTTAAATGTATCAACTGGACAGTTGTGTAATGACAAAATTGGCATTTTAAGTAACTTGTTTTGTCGTGAATTTTTAAATGCCTTTTTAAATAAAAATTTTTCAGAGTCATAAAATCACACTTATCACATTTTAATTTTTTCAGTTTATCTTTACCATGATAATACTTTTTATGTTGAAGTAAACCACACCTTGTTCGATATTGCTTAAAACAAATCTCACACCTAAACAACTTTACATTTCCACTCATATCACCAAATTCAACCCCATGATATTCCACCTCAATTTTTGTCTCAAACACTCCTTCATTCTCATCTTTTTCTTCATTGCATGGCGAATTTTTATCATCTTCTTCATCCAATTCTTCTTTGATTTCTCGTAGTTTATGTTCGTAATTCAACGATATGTCACTTTCAAAATAGTCTACTGGTTCTTTTTTAACGACTATTTGCTCCATAGTGTACGAAAACTTTACTACTTTTATTTAATAAACACAGAATATTTGTATTAAGTAACTCGAAAATACTTTGGCAAGCTTTAAAAACAATAAAACCCGTATAAACACTCAAACAACGAATTAGAAGCACTTGTTTTATTATGGAAATGAGTATTTTGACATTTGACAGAAAACTCCCTAGAATAACCCTAAATATCACTAGATAGTTTGAATTGCAAACAAGCAGACCTTGGAGTAGGGAAGAGAGTACAAATTGCGACCACGCCGAAGCACGTATTTAAGTGGCGGAGATATCGTCCCAATTATTACAAATTTAACAATTTTACAGAGTATTTTAAAGATTAAAAGTTTTTAGCTGATATAAGTTATTTTTTACATTTACATTGGTACGGTAGTACGGGCGGCAGGAAGGAAGGCAATCTATAAATCAGGCTCTATAACTAAAATATGGCAATAATTTTTTAAAAACTTTACTTAAACAAAATGGCAAACATTTGAATTGATTGTTTTAAATTTCGCTTGATAAAAATTCATATTACAACTACACTAATATAAAAACACGGTAATTTAATGACAAAATATCGTGAGGTTATGTTGTTATGGCACTGCTTCCAACTTAACACCAACTGACAGATGGATTATCGTGCATGAAATGTCTTTGTTCGGGTAGAGAACATTGTATTTTGTTATAATAGAGTAATTGCATCAAAAATGAAAATCCCTAAAAACCTTTTTATTGTAATCTAGAGGTAAAAACACATTGCGAAAATATTTTTTTATATTCCAAAAGTTCAACCCGGCCCCAAAATATCAAATTGAAAAAAAGGTACTTTTCAAACGTTCCGAACTCCCGCCATATTGCATGACGTCATAAGCTTCACCAGCTGTCAGAAATCAAGATGTCAACAAATAATAAACACCGATAAGTTTATGTTTATACATGGAAAACGTGAAACCAAAAATTGGTTGTAAATATTGTTTTGTGCCTTGTACAAATACAACCTGGAAAACTCCTGGGAAAAGTTTTATCACCGTGCCAAAAGGGAAAATAAGGATAAAGTGGATTAAAATAGCTCGGCGCGATATCAAAACATCGTCACCATTTTATTGCTCATTTTAAGGATCATTTTAATGTAAGTAAAATAAAATGTCGTTTACTAGGTATATGGTTTGAATAGGTATGTTAAATATTAATAAATTCAAGAAAATACGGCTAAGCCGTAACTACTCTCAGTGTAGGGTCATAAACTTTGCTTTTGATAATTGAAGGGACAACTTTCCCAGGAGTTTTCCAGGTTGTATTTGTACAACAAGGCACAAAACAATATTTACAACCAATTTTTGGTTTCGCGTTTTCCATGTATAAACATAAACTTATCGGTGTTTATTATTTGTTGACATCTTGATTTCTGACAGCTGGTGAAGCTTATGACGTCATGCAATATGGCGGGAGTTCGGAACGTTTGAAAAGTACCTTTTTTTCAATTTGATATTTTGGGGCCGGGTTGAACTTTTGGAATATAAAAAAATATTTTCGCAATGTGTTTTTACCTCTAGATTACAATAAAAAGGTTTTTAGGGATTTTCATTTTTGATGCAATTACTCTATTGGGATTTTTAAAGGTAATTTAAGTAAAACACGTATTAAAATGTAATTTTGGTTTATTTTTTTTGTTTATATGGAACATTATTTAACACAATGTTTACTTTTTAAATGTGTTTTAAAATTAAATAATTTAGTAGTTTTAAAGTTGCAGTGTTGACACACATGCACTTTGGCAGTGATGAAATTTTCATTGGATTCATTTAACAAATGCGAGTGTTTAGCTAAAATATGGTTGTCCAAACTTCGTTTTTTATCGCTTTCATATTTACAAAATAAACAATTTAATTTTGTTTTATGTTGGATTTTTATGTGAGGTGTTAAATTATATTTATTATTAGTTTTATAGGGGCAAAGATGACATTCGTAATATTTAACGTTTTTTAATTTCAAACATCTACTGATGTGCTTGTTATAACTTGATTTTCTAACAGTTGAATATGAACAATTAGAACACTCGTGGATTTTATTTGTTATTTTTGTTTTATTTTCTTCTTTATGTTTGCTTAGAAGGTGCCCATTTAAACTCATCATATCAGAAGTCTTGTAATGACAAAATTGGCATTTTAAGTAACTCTCTTTGTCGTGAATTTTTAAATGCTTTTTTATATTAGTTTTTATCACAGTGACATAATCACATTTATCACATTTAAATTTTTCCAGCTTGTCTTTACCATGAATATACTTTTTATGGTCAAATAAACTCCTCTTTGTTCGTTGCTCCTTAAAACAAATCTCACACTTAAACAACTTTTTATTGCCACTCATATCACCACATTTAACCCCATGATTTTCGACCTCAATTTTCGTCTCAAACATGTCTTCATCCCCATCTTTTCCTTCATTGCGTAACGAATTTTTATCATCTTCTTCGGAAAACTTACCTTCATCCTCATCATCATCACAATTGTCACTTTCTTCATCACCATCGTTGATTTCATATCTAAAATTACTTAAAATAGCTTAAAACACCTTTATTTAAAACTTAAAACAATAGTGCAGGCTGTTTAGCAACAAGAGCAAGCATGTTTCAACATGTCAACAATCAAACAACTGTTGCCATGGTGATGATGCATTAAGTGGCAACCATGCTTACCCTAGGTCAAGAAACGTTTCGTCTTCGGCTTCAAATTTCATTACGACTTGCTCGGCTCCATCAAAATCGTCTTCTACATCTGCGGACATTTCCGATTCTTCTTTCACCTCCGATTCATCGTAAACCATGGATTTGTCGCCATCATCCAATTCTTTGATCTCTTGTTTTATTGCGATCCCAGAGGTTAGAGGCGTTTCCTGGTCAGCAGATGTACTTGTTCCATCGAAATTGTCGACAGGTTCTTTTTTAACCACTATTTGTTCCATAATGCACGAAAACTACTACTTATATTTAATAAACACAGAATTATTGCATTAAGTAACTCGAAAATACTATGGCAAGCTTTAAAAACAATAAAAACCTGTATAAACACTCAAACAACGAATTAGAAGCACTTGTTTTATTATGAAAATGACTATTTTGACATTTGACAGAAAACTCCCTAGAATAACCCTAAATATCCCTAGATACTATCTAGTAGATAGTTTGAATTGCAAACATGCAGACCTTGGAGAAGGGAAGGGTGTGGAAAATATAACCCATATGTCCCATAAATAAAATCATCTATTTTGAGTTTGAAAAAACGGCACTATTCTCCCAGCTAGTATACCCCCAATACTAACAAACATAAATAAAAATTATATAAATATAATAAAAAAATACCATGAAAGAAACCAGGTCAATAAGAAAAGAAAAGATTACCAAATACACAGCTACACAAGAAGACAAGAAAAGAGATGAGAACGCTCAAACACTCTTAAACCTGATTTATAGATTGTCTTCCTTTCTTCCTCCCGTAAAAGATGAACAATACGAAAAACGTATTACCGTTTATAGAATCCCGTACAGGATCAAACTTTTAATGTGAACCTCGTCTATAAACCAAACAAGAAAACGAATGAGCTGGCCAAATAGCTTCTAATAAAGCTTAAGGACATTAACCTCGGAATACAGAGATCCAATTTTCATTTTTTCTTAGAAAACCCACGGAAAACGGCAAAACATGTAAAAGTGAGGTTATGTTGTCATGGCACTGCTACCAACTTAACACCCACTGACAGATGGACTATCGTGCGCGAAATGTCTTTGTTCGGGTGGAGAACATTGCATTTTTTAATAATTTGGAATTTTAAAGGTAAATTATAGTAAAACACGTATGAAAATGAAAGTTGTTAATATTTATTAAATGACAAACATTGGAATTTCGTTTCCATATAATCAATGATGTTTATTTATATGCTTTTTTAATGGAGTTGTATTGGTAGTTTTAAAGTTGCAGTGTTGGCAAGAATGCACTTTGGCAGTGATAAAATTTTGATTGGATTCATTTAACAAATGTAAATGTTTAGTTAAAATATGGTTGTCCAAATTTTTTTTTATATTGCTTTCATGTTTACAAAATAAACATTTTAATTTTATTTTATGATGGATTTTAAGGTGACGTGTTAAAACATATTTATGAATGGTTTTATAGGGGCAAAGATGACATTCGTAATATTTAACGTTCTTTAATTTCAAACATCTACTCATGTGCCTATCGTAATTTGTTTTTCTAACAGTTGAATATGAACAATTTGGGCACTCATGGATTTTACTTGTTATTTTTGTTTTATTTTCTTCTTTATGTTTGCTTAGAAGGTGTGCATTTAAAAGCATCAACTTGAGAGTCATGAAATGACAAAATTGGCATTTTAAGTAACTTGTTTTGTCGTGAATTTTTAAATGGGTTTTAAAATTATTTTTTTGTACAGTCTCATAATCACAATTATCACATTTAAATTTTTTCAGTTTATTTTTACTATGATGATACTTTTTATGATCACATAAACTCCTCTTTGTTTGATATTGTTTAAAACAAATCTCACACCCAAATAACTTTTTATTGCCACTCATATCATCACATTCAACCCCATGATATTCCACCTCAATTTTGGTCTCAAACACTCCTTCATTCTCATCTTTTTCTTCATTGCATGGCGAATTTTTATCATCTTCTTCATCCAATTCTTCTTTGATTTCTCGTATTTTATGTTCGTAATTCAACGATATGTCACTTTCAAAATAGTCTACTGGTTCTTTTTTAACGACTATTTGCTCCATAGTGTACGACAACTTTACTACTTATATTTAATAATCACAGAATATTTGTACTAAGTAACTCGAAAATACTTTGGCAAGTTTTAAAAACAATAAAACCTGTATAAACACTCAAACCATGGAGCCTATACAAGGAGCCCGAACTTCATGTAAACAAGAATCTTCCCAAGATAAGAGGGCGCTGGGGTGCGTTCATAAAGGAAATCTGATTATAGGGTGTTTATCTCGTGTGTAATGTGAGTTTTGCGCGGAGTGTTCCTAGGGTGATGGGTGGTTTTTGAACGCCTGACATTTCGATTGTCACAATTTGCGTTTTTGAGGTCAAAGTTAACCTCATGGAAGCAGCTATATTTTGTTCCAGTTTGGGCGTCCAAACATTATTTGAAATTCCAATTGCTTTTTTTGATGCAGACGACGAAAGTAGTAGCGATAACGATGAAGTTATGTTAATGGTTACTCGGAGTAGAAAGTTAAAGAAACCACTACGTATTCAAAACTATCTGACAACTATAAATTGTTTCATATAATATTCAATGCCCAACTTGGCTACCGCTACCGCTGCCACTACCGTTACCTTTAGAACTATAAATACCGTACGGGAATCTATAAACAGTACTACGGTATTGTTGATCTTTTACGGCAGGAAGGAAGGAAATCTATAAATCAGGCTTTATGCTTAATTAAATTAATTAATCTGGATAGAATTAAGTTAATTTTGTCCAGATACTACCTTTCCAAAACAGTAGAGTGGTATAACCAGAAATGGCGCCACTACCTACCACTTATTATTGTGGAAATAATTGAGGTTATGCAACTGTCAGTTTATCGCTTTCTGAAAACAATGTACCCATGTACCTGGTTTTGTGTATAAAGGTCTTAATTTACAATAAATTTATATCAAATTTAACATTGGAATTCATGTTGGACTTTCTGATGTAGAGTATAGTACAGTTTTTTATAAATACGTGTTTTTTTCTATAAAAGAATGTCGTGTGATGCTAAATCGTGTTCTGTGTGTAAAACTAACAAAATATTAAATCCATATGGTATTTATTTTTAGTTTTATAGGTAGATGGCTTAAATAAAAGTTCAATATAAACAAATAAAGGTGGAAATTATTAAATATGCTGTTTACTCATTTTATACATACTTTTTTATTTAAATTAAATTTAAATTATTAAATAGCGGTGTATTTCTAACCTGGAAATCTAATTTTGCCTCTCCAGAGTCGTAAAATCACTTCACAGATTATAAAGAATCACTTATATTTCACAACCAAAACCTATTTATTAGAATCTACCTACCAGGTACAGCCATAAATAACAAAACGATTCCTACGTCAAAACATTATTGCAAATCAATTGTCAAAATTACTTGCTTACTTCACATGTATTTTTGATACTATTTTCACGTCATACGGACGCATTGACAAACAGCGCCGCTGGTAGTGAAAAAAAAAGACTTAATTTGTGCAATTTAGTGGACAGGTTTTGTCAATTTTCCCTATTAAGTTCGGGCTCCTTGTGTAGGCTCCATGACTCAAACAACGAAATATATGCATTTGTTTTATTATGGAAATGTCCATTTTGACATTTGACAGAAAAGTCCCTAAAATAACCCTAAATATCACTAGATAGTTTAAATTCTTTGGTTTAAATTGCAAACACGCAGACCTTGGAGTAGGGAAGAGAGTACAAATGCGACCACGCCGAAGCACGTATTTAAGTGGCGGAGATATCGTCCCAATTATTACATATTTAACAATTTTACAGAGCATTTTAAATATTGAAAGTTTTTAGCTAATATGAATTATTTTTTACATTTACATTAGTACGGTAGTACAGACGGCAGGAAGGAAGGCAATTTATAAATCAGGAATTTTAACTAAAATATTTGAATATCGATAAATTTACTAAATAATTGATTGTTTTAAAGTTCACTTTATAAAAATTCATATTACAACTATGCAAATATAAAAACACGGTAATTTAAAGACAAAATATCGTGAGGTTATGTTGTTATGGCACTGCTTCCAACTTAACACCAACTGACAGATGGATTATCGTACATTAAATGTCTTTGTTCGGGTAGAGAACATTGTATTTTGTTATTATTGGGATTTTTAAAGGTAATTGAAGTAAAACACGTATTAAAATGTAATTTGTTTATTTTTTTTGTTCATATTAAACATTATTTAACGAATGTTTATTTTTTAAATGTGTTTTAAAATTATATATAACAGTAGTTTTAAAATTGCAGTGTTGGCAAACATGCACTTTGGCAGTGATGAAATTTTCATTGGATTCATTTAACAAATGCGAGTGTTTAGCTAAAATATGGTTGTCCAAACTTCGTTTTTTCTTGCTTTCATGTTTACAAAATAAACAATTTAATTTTATTTTATGTTGGATTTTTATGTGAGGTGTTAAATTATATTTATTATTAGTTTTATAGGGGCAAAGATGACATTTGTAATATTTAACTTTCTCTAATTTCAAACATCTACTCATGTGCCTATCGTAATTTGTTTTTCTAAGAGTTGAATATGAACAATTTGGGCACTCGTGGATTTTACTTGATATTTTTGTTTTATTTTCTTCTTTATGTTTGCTTAGAATGTGTGCATTTAAATGTATCAACTTGAGAGTCATATAATGACAAAATTGGCATTTTATGTAACATGTTTTGTCGTGAATTTTTAAATGCCTTTTTAAAGAAAAATTTTTCAGAGTCATAAAATCACACTTATCACATTTCAATTTTTTCAGTTTATCTTTACCATGATAATACTTTTTATGATGAAATAAACTTCTCTTTGTTTGATATTGCTTAAAACAAATCTCACACTTAAACAACTTTTTATTGCCACTCATATCACCACATTCAACCCCATGATATTCCACCTCAATTTTTGTCTCAAACGCTCCTTCATTCTCATCTTTTTCTTCATAGCATGGCGAATTTTTATCATCTTCTTCATCCCATTCTTCTATGATTTCTCGTATTTTATGTTCGTGATTCAGCGATATGTCACTTTCAAAATAGTCTACTGGTTCTTTTTTAACGACTATTTGCTCCATAGTGTACGAAAACTTTACTACTTATATTTAATAATCACAGAATATTTGTATTAAGTAACTCGAAAATATTTTGGCAAGCTTTAAAAACAATAAAACCTGTATAAACACTCAAACAACGAATTAGATTCATTTGTTTTATTATGGAAATGACTTTTTTGACATTTGACAGAAAACTCCCTAGAATAACCCTAAATATCACTAGATAGTTTGAATTGACCATATGCAAGGAATGCGGTCGATGTTGTCAATGGTAAAAAAATAAAATTCACATTCAAT